AAGGATTACATGATCTGCTGAATCAACGGCCTTTGATAAGTCGAGAAAAACTTAAATAACAAAGAGTTTATTGTCGATAGCTGCTGATATTTTCTCAATTGTCTGCAGAAGGGCATGTGCAGTTGAGTGTCCTTCACTGAAACCAAATTGTGTTTCAGTTAAAATTTTGTGCTTGTTTAGAAAAGATGCTGTTGGATCGTAAACGATACGTTCATAAATTTTTGACAAACAGGGTAATATGGATATAGGGATATTTACGTTTCATGCTGACATCCGCTGGCAAGTCCTCCATCACGTAAAAGTACGTATCCTTTAGTGCTTTGGTTTTTTTAAGGACGGCATACCTCTGTGGTCTGTAGATCAATTTTGATATTACATACCTTGCCATCTCAGCATCCCCTGTCGGTTTTCCAGTCCTATGAGCATGCTCGATCTGTGTATCTAGCATTAGTTTACTTCGTAAGATTTCTTGTAGCTTATCTTGCGTGTTTTCGTTCTTGTATTTTATTCCTCTATTACTTTTCAAATTATTTCTCATCTTCTGTTTTTCATTTAATTCATTTTCCATTTTAACCATGCGAGTAGTACAATCAATTCTCTGTACCAGTTGTCATATCTGTGAAATGTTCGAACGATTTTTCAAATTTAGTTGTTTTCTTCTCCATATTTGTCATCCGATCTAGTAATAACTGTTAGTTGGATTTTATAGTAGTTATTCCTTTATCGATCTTTAAATTCAGTTGCGTGACCATTTCATTCAGTTCATTCCGCAACGCCTTTATCTCAATAGACGATGACGTGTCAAATTCCGCCTGTGCGGAGGTAGCGGGCGATTCAAGCTTCGAAATTTGCATGGGCGTTGTCTTGGCCTCATATTTTTCTTCGTTCTAGCTCTCGTAGAACTAATTTTCCTAATTAGTTTCGATTTTCCATACAATAGTTGTATGTCAAAGTATGATGTAGACTTACTGTGATATATTTGTGTTCCTTTCAGCTATAAATTTGGAAGTGTAACTTTCCTTTCAGAAGAGCTCCAGAATGGTGGTACGTGCTTACTCACTGAATCCCTTAATGCAGTAGGGGTGTCAAAATGCAAAATAGATCACCTAAAAAGAAGGTTTTTTTTCCAGGAAGCAAGTTAACTCAATAAAATTCACTCAAGAACATTGCAATACTAAATTGATTCATAGCAGAATGTGGGGGTCGATAAATAACAGTAAATTGAATTGACCGAGAAATATTTTAAACAGTTGCATATTCAAAATTTGTTACGGTCCTAATGTAATCAATATTAACGTGGCCAATTTTGAGATTTTCCCTACACAACACACCAATACCACCGTGGTCTAATGAAAATATAACCCGGAGAAATAAGTTCCTCAATCTCAACTTGATCATTCTCATGTAACCATATTTATTTAGGAAACCTTAGGTTAACAGAGTGTTGTAGACAGTTTTTTTTACTGCTGAATGACAGTTGCAGAACCTAACATCAAGGGAAAAAAACACAGTGCCTGGCTGTTTGTTCTCTTTTCTTATTACATACACCATGACAGCCAGAGTTGATGTTAATGCCTGTAGAGTCTCACCAATTCTGTTAAGAGTGGCTATAACCTAATTTAAATTTATGGGAATACTAAATACTTTGAAAGATTAAATTGTCATCATGGATATATAAATTAAATAAATCGGGGCCTAGAGCCTTGCGGCACACTCGATAGCCCTGGAAGCCACGAAGCCAACTCCCCGCCGATCACAACACGCTGTTCGTCGCTTAAATAACTTCTAATCCAACACAAAGCAGACAAAACACATTTTGAAAGTTTTATAAATGAGTATTTTGTGAGAAACACATTGCTTCTTGCTCTTGATGGCATCATATGCGGTAGCAAAAAGCGAGACAAGACTGGTTTGACACGACGTCATTGAAATAAATCTATGCTGCTTATGATTTAAAATATTCACTATATGTTTTGTGATGACAATAATGGACAATACGTCCAAAAACCTTAGAAAAAGTAGGTACAACGAAACAGAAAGATAATTATAAATACATTTTTTGGAACCACTTTTATGAATCTTAACAGTATTTACACGTCTTCAAGACGAAAAAAAAAAAGAATTAATAGATAATTGACAAATGTTGCATGTTATTAAAGGTTACTATAAAGGAACATTTTGTTGTCAATAGTCAGCACGATCGTGACAGCCTCGGCGGACGCCAGGTGAAGGTTCATCAAAGAAGGAATAAAATAATAGTAAATGTTGCTGCTTTATCATAATTAGACTAAACAGAAATATTTCCCATAACAGAAGGAAGATTATTTAACTTGTATTTCGTTTTCATCCAGGAATAAAATTGTTTACCATTGCTGCTGCTAAATACTCTTTATACCTCTTAATGCATGTTCTTTAAATAGTAGTATTGCACTACCTATTATTAAATTATTATTATTATTATTATTACAGTAATATTAAAATGTAAAGAGAAATCAATTGTCAATGATAAGTGGTTGGATAAATAAATATCGTTAGCGGTATTAATATTGTCAGAAATGTCCTAACTACAAATAACAGGAACTATTAGTATTGATCTGCCCATTCGAGTACAAAACATATTACATCGAAATAACCACAGCGTGTGAGTAACACATTTATCAAATGTTCTCCCATAGATTGATTTAGAGAAAAATAGGCGTTGAGTTGATTACAATTAAAATTAACAAACAAACAAGCTGACTTTTGCTTCGCTTAAGTATCACCCTGATAAAATGTACATATATTAATATATAACTCAGAATCCAGTCCATTAATGTTTAACCAGGATTCCGTAAGTGCAATAATATTACAATTATGCTGTGTTAAATGCGCATTCTGGTCCTTTTTTTAAAGCTACGTTTATATTTTGATACTATATCTGTAGGGTAACTGTTGTATGTGTTGTTGTCAAAGTACCGGGACCTTGGATCAACTTAGTATCACCGCTTAACAAAATATAAAAAGTAGAAAATTGTTAAAATTGTATAAACGTGAAGCACTTAAACATCCGTGGTGCTTAGTGAGCCCATTCACGAATGAGTCCATTCGCATACTGTAAAGACACATTTCTTGTTTTCGTAAAATCTTCACAAGGATAGTCCTGCAGGTGAAAGTACAATCCAATGCACAGATACAAAGCAAACAAAGTACACACTACAAAGCAAACACAGTGCACACCACTACAAAAATTCCGGATTAAACATACGAAACCTGTGAAGCTTACACATTTAAACAGTATTAGTATTATTAACAGTAGTTCCAAGAACTTTGTTGCCACAAGTACAACCACAAGAATTTGAAGACTGAACAACTATGGTTAATTAAAAGTGTTATTAATAATGTATTATATAATAATATTATTAATTGTAATATTATAGCAGCATCGATATTCATACTGTCATTCAGCTAATTTTTCAGTAAAAAATATCACTCAATGAATAACAAAATCGCACATTTTAACATAGCAGTTTATATGCATAAGTTGATCAAATTTGGCTTTGATTTTATAGGAGAAATTGACTAGGAAACTTTTGATCAAGACAACGTTAAAATTGAAAATTAATATTTTTTTGTATCTTCAACAATCTCCCATTTCAAGCTTAGTGCAGCTGATAACGTTAAACTGGAAGTGCTTTCACTAATTAATATTACCCTCTGTGAATAGAGTTTAACAATTTTTACTATACTTGCAATATATTAAATGATTTTGTAGACACTCTTACATTTGTGCAGATACTGGTGATCTTACGTTCTAAACTTTATGTGTAGTTTTAATTTCAGTCAAATTAAACATTTTTCAACTCTTACTTCTGAAATAAAATAAATATGCATAAACACTTTCATTCAAGTAATTTTTCCTGAGTGACCCTGATCTCATTTTCACTGAAGTGAACATAAACTGTAAAAATAACAGCCACTATACTAGAACATGTCGTAGTTCAATACTGATGCTTTTCTTTCTGATTTACCTAGTAATACTTATAATGTATAGGTGTAATTTTGCCCTACTCGAAAGCTACCTGTCCCACCCGAAACAACTTGCGATTTTTTTGCAATTGATTTCGAACGTACTGAGTATTCAGTAAACTTCTACGTCAGGTAGGGCAAAATTACACCTTTACATGTTTCTCCTGACGCAAATCCAGTTATTGTCACGACAATAACAATTACTATCAATCCTTATAATTTTCTCAACGGTTTTATTTAATGTAAATTCTGTTTTGAAGACTTTTAGTAGAATACCGAAAGTATTTGTAACGCAGACTAAACTGATCACCAACAGATTTAAAGCTAAATTACCTAACTGGCTGATAAAGTGAATTGATATTTTATGAAATGATATATCAAAGTGAAACGTGTAGGAAATGTAAAACTATAAAAACCGAGTAACTAAACTTTGCCCTTTCGCTAAAATTAATTTTCCAATTAATTTCTATGAGCATCATATAAAAAATAATAATTACAATATAAAAAAAAATGTAGTCAGGCTTAATACCATTCTTCCATCATATAAACAGATTCATATATTCCCCTTATTAGCTTTAATCATAATGGTAATAATATTATATTTTCTAATAAATATGGTACTAAAATTTATTCAAAGTTAGACGATACTTATCCTAATTATTTTACGTGTTATGATACATGCAAAATACAGGTACCTGTTACAACTTGTTAATTGCCTGTTGTATTTTATTCAGCCTAACAAGTATTTAACATGTTTTAACATTACCTGTTAAATTGCTGTCTCTTATACACATCTAGATGTGTATAAGAGACAGATATATAAATATGTGGGTGGCAACTAATAGGTTTTTCGACAAAAGACAGGCAATCTTACGTCTGATTTTTTTAAGGTAACTGTCGAGGGGGAGATGGGGATATTTTCAAGTTGCAGTTAAAAGTATAAATACATGTCATTATACTGTAGCTTTAAATATTTTATTTGTGTTAATTTTTAGGTTGGAGTAATATTGGTGGATACGCAAGGAACGCAGGATCCAAAGACCAGCCAAAAGCAGAATGCTGCAATATTTGCACTTAGTACACTATTGAGCTCAATACAGGTAGGTTATTACTGTTATGTCTATATGACCCAATGAGGGCGAAAAAACATTTCTCCAAGGAGCGTTTTCAATATACTTGCTCTGCAAAAATATTAATATATTTCCCGATAACGCCTAGATTGTTTTTTTGAAACTTTATAAAAACAGGTATTTTCTACCAAAGAACTCCAAGGTAAAATTTTTTTTGAATAATATTGATTTCTTTTACTTATTATGTTAAGAATGCTGATAATTAACCATTTGAAATCCGCACTTTAGAAGCACGAGGCCAGAAATTGTTGAAACCAGTGTTTATTATGGTTTACGATGTAAATACAAAATGAGACGTACGTTAAACCACATATTTACAAAGCTTTGGTAAATCTGTGCATTGTCAACACATTACTGGCATTCAACGTATTAAAAACCAGTGGAGAATAAATATTATAGATTAGCAACTAAATAGGGTGAATTCTATTAACACAAGGAGTAAACATCCGAGGTAGGAATGTTCAAGTGCATGATAAAATAAACCTCCTATCTGCCATACAATGTATTCAACGGGTTTAGGGAATTAACAGGTTTAACATTATAGCAACAGGTATCTAACAGGTATCAACAAGTTTTAACAGGTACTAAAAGGTATTAATAGTTTATACAAGTTTTAGTAGGAATTAACAGGTATCTAACAGGTGCCAACATGTCACCTTACCGGTTTCAACAGAGGGGGATTTTTAACAGGATTTAACATGTATCTTAATGGATTTTAGCATGCATCTACATGTATTTAACATGTATCAACAGGAACAATTCAATAGGTAGTTTGAATATCTTTTAACATGTACCTAAATGGGTGTTGACATGATTAAACAGGTAAAACAGAAATGATTACATACACAAAAAATACTGTTTTTTAAAATTGTAATGAACCGTTAGTTATTTAATTTACAACAGTTCAATTTACATTATTTAACAAAAATTTGCATTATAAAATTGATTAGTATATGACCTTGTCAGTAACATCCATAATTATTATTTCAGTAAATAAATCTGAACTTTTCGACAAAACACATATTATTAAGGTACCGTTATACTAAATTTAGTGAAGTGTTCAAAATTGTTAATGGTTATAAACGACAAGGCTGAAAAGAGTGTGTCAGCGCGCGACCCGTCGTCGGAGGCAGCATGAATGTCCCATAGGCATTTTTGGGGAAAAATATCAAAATAATAAACTGCTTTGCTATATAGCCTGAAGCCAACAGTTGGTGTTGAAGGCATTCTATTGAAATATTCATGGTTGTAGGCAAGAACATTTTTTTCAGGCCTGTTTAGCCCACGTAATTTTGGAAAACCTTCAGCGGCAGGCAGGAAAAAAAAAATTCTTTTAACTATAGCCAAATTGTCCTGCCAAAAGAACATGATTGGAAGTAGATAAAATCTACTCGCATGAAATATGGGTGGTTTGGTATACACTAAAAATAATGAAATACAAATAAATAAAAACTTCAATGGTAAAAATTACCTTGACAGTTTTGTTTGTTCTTTACACGAACTAAATAGTGTGGGGGGGGGGGAGAAGACCGAAAGTTGGGCCGATCGAGAAAAAACTGTTCCAGGGGGTTCCGGGGGTATGCTCCCGTAAAATTTGTGTGTTCTAGACGCCCGAAAATAACATTTGAGGCGTTCTGGGCTATCATTTTTTTAATTTTTCTTTCTTTCCCCCCCCCCCTTTTTTTACCTCTCAAAAGGGGGCCGGGCCGGGCCTGCCCTAACCCGTAAATCTGATAATGTCATATCGGAGACACCACTGATAGTTAGTGTCATCGGAAAATTGGTTATCTCGACATCAAAGAAGATGATTAAAGTCAGGCATATACCAAAAACAAAACAGGGCCGATGACACTTCCTTGTGGGCCCAAAAACCGACTCAGCAGCCCCAAAACCGCCTTAAATGTACTAAGGAAGGAGTTTAAACATTGAGGGAATTCCAACGTATGCCTACATTGTGTAATTTAGCAAGTAATCCATTATGAATGACCTTGTTGAAGGCAGACGTAAAATCTAAGAGGGCTACATCAATACATTTACTAGAATGCCTATCGAATTGAAAAGTTCAATGATGATTAAGATTAGCTAAAATCAATTCCGTATTGTAACCCACACTGAGTGATTGGGATAATTGCATGGTCGTCAAGGAAATTTAAAAGGGTTTCAAGCAAGACTCTTTCAAAAACTTTACTGAAGATAGAGGACAAGGTACAGGACGGTAAGTACAAATATTATTCCTCGGTTTGTTACCCTCTTTATATACTGGCACAATGTATCTTAACAATAAAACTAGGCTGCCTAGGCCTAGACCAAAAACTGTTTTATAATTAAGTTAGTTGGACTGCCTGGCCTGGCCTAACTGATATGGCGGGGACAGGTGCCTAGTGTGGGCTAAGTTCAGTCTACAACCAGGCTACCCATTGTAGGAAGGCCTAGTGCCTGAAGAGTGCAATTTCTAGGCCTGATATCTGTTGAACTTTTTTTATTTTACGTGTTATGATACATGCAAAATACAGGTACCTGTTACAACTTGTTAATTGCCTGTTGTATTTTATTCAGCCTAACAAGTATTTAACATGTTTTAACATTACCTGTTAAATTGAATGTTCATTCTGTTTACGTGTAACAGGTAAAAGTTAATACATGTTAACACTTGTTGAAAAAAACATTTTTTCCTGGGTGAAATGCTCAAGATACTTTAAAAATGGTCAAAAGGCTAATAATTGTACAAACAAGCTTGTCTGGCATACTTGTAGTCTAAAACTTCATGTTTTTTTTTTGTACTGCAGAATAGCTTCTGCACGACGACTCTGTAGAAATATTATTCTAAAAAAAAGGAAAAAGAAGAAGAAAATCATGCAAGCGGAAGTAACAAATATTGTAAAACAAACTAATTCATTCGTAGAATTAAGTATTGTCAAGTAAAGTGCATTATGATTATTGGAAAGAAGTTATTTTTATAATAGTTTTATATCAACATGAATAACACAAGTTCTCATTGTCTGTCTCCCTAAACGTGAGGAGAATAAGTAACAGAAACAAAAGCAAACATTTGTGTCATGATCATAAAGCAGACATTGTACTGTTGCAAGAAACGCATCTTACTCAATAATTATTTAATACATTTAATTTATTATGAGAGGTTTTGCATTCATAGTAATGATTTTATTTTTCTTTTCTAGTGCAAGAGCGGCTAATACATATAAAAAACGGCTTCAGTTTTAATAAACTTAATGAATAAACCTAATAAATATATTGATAAAAATAGAAAATACGCTAATCTGAAAGTAGATTTTATGGTTAAAATGTATGTTTTTGTCTACATATTTTTCCAAACATTTATAAATTAAGGAGTACATATTTTAGAGACTTGCGTAATGATGTTTTGAGTACCTTCCTTAAATGTATATAAAGATAACGCTAAAATGGGTGGTGATTTTGATTGCATCTTAAATAGAAAATGTGATAAATAAATTAGTGCAGATAGAATATACACGTCAATGATTACAGTTAAATGTTATGAATAGCCTGAATTAAAAAAGGTTTGGATAAATAAATATGCTCTCAAAGCACAATTTACTTGGCGTAGAAAATGTAGTAAAAACTATAGACGACTCGATTACTGGTTAATCTCACAAAATCTTATAGATCTAGATAAAATTACATCATGCAATATAGGACCTGCTATACAAACTGATCACAGGGCAATCACATTAAATGTTTGGACTAGATAAAATTATAATAGGCCAGGAATATTGGATAATATTGACCATCAAAAGTATATTAGAAATATTATTTATAAAACACAGGCTAACAAATTAGTCCCGATGGTTTGTGGGAATTAATAAAAGTAAACATTGAATGTAACATGACAAAAAAAAAAAAAAAAAAAAAAAAAAAAAAAAATAATTTACATAAACAAATAAAACGATTGAATAATGATTCAAGGTCAATAATGTAAGTAATTTGAATGAAAACATTGAGGCAGAAATTAAAGAAAAAACAATGAATATATATATGAAAAGGAAACAAAAGGTGCATACATACGCTAACGGGTCAAATGGATAGAAGAGAGTGAACCTAGCACTAGAAATTATCTTGGTTAAGAAAAAAAAATTGGGACTAAAAACATATAACTAGACATAATATATCTGTTTGTACAACCGAACATAGGGCTTTCCACATTGCCATATTTTAAAGCGAAGTTGAAATTACAATAAAATCATTTAAAGTATAAAGTAAAAAACACGGAAAAATACTAAATACTTAACTAAAGAGAATTATAAAGTAAAAAGAAACACAGTAAAAAGAAAAGAAACAATGAAAACCAAATTATAAAGGGCACTATCTAACACACACACACACACACACACACATACACACATACTGACTTTGTTTCCCGAGGGGAGTCTTTATGCATATTTATGCGTATCAGTTCTCCTGACTTAAAATAGCACCCTCTATAATGTCTGCCGCAATATGTGAAAAAAAAAACAAAATTCAACCGATTAATTTTTTTTCCCATGCAGTTCCAGCAGAAACTATAGAAGGCAATATTGAAGGTCATTTAGGTAAACTGATAATATGAATAATGCATGCCTGCTTGACACTTCTTCCCGCGAGTCGCGGAAGTGGTGTGGTGTTTGCTGCTTGTGTGGAATATGAAAGCTACGACGTTGGAGGAGTTAGTTTTAGAAACTAAACTAATTCTTCCATGGTTAGTGTAGGCCAAAATCTCTTGGTAGTCTATCGCGAGGAAAGTATATACAGTCGATATACTGAACTACCGTATTAACTATTACTGTAATTGCAATATCCCTTTGCCTAGGCAATGTTTACGTACAACATGGTCTTTGAAAGTATAAATTAATGGCAGCGTTGAATTTCTGGTCGATTATTTGAGTAGTGTAAAGTATAGCAATAATTAACTGCTATACCACTGATTCTAAAGGATAAACGTTTATAAATGCTTTGACACACAGTTACAATCTATGTATTGATTATATGTTTACTTCTTACAAACATTTCGTTCATATTTAATATAAATAAAAGCATAAATTATATAGCAAGCAGGTATATTATAAACACTAATTTTACGATATTCTATACACATGATACGACGTATTGTTTGGCAGTGTATACCCAATTAAATATTGAATAGCTTTATATTTAAAACGATCAAAATCAGATGAAAGTAAAAATAGCTTTAATTGATTTACAGACGGTTCTACAAAAATTCTTAAATGTTACCAACCAATGAATCATGCAAAATAATACAGAAACGCGCACTCTCTGTTAATAAAGGCAGGGATTCTTTTCTTATTAAAAAAAAAATAAAAAAAATAAAACGTTTAATTGTGAAATTGTAAGTCAGCTGTGTCCGAAGTACTAGTAGGCTAATTTGTTTCCGAGCATATGTAAATGTCCTTCAGAATCAGTACTACTAAGTAATAGGGAGCATACTGCTACAACACACACCTCATACTGTATTAACCTAACTGTAGGCATAGGCCTACTCAAATACCGTGCCAGATTCAATAATAGCCTACTCCGGTTTTTTTTCGAAGACCATGCTGTAGGGCTACATAGAATGTGTCTAATCTAGTAGTACAATTTTACACTGCCTTGACTACCAAGGCTTATTTACGATATTTTAGCCTAGTGACCCCAAAGCATTCATCCACCCCGATTCACGCATAAAACTCTATACACCACTGACTATGTTTCGCTAGGGGGAGTCTGTATGCATATTCATGCTTATCAGTTCTCCTTACAGACCTAAAATAGCACCCTCTATAATTACTGCCACAACTGTATAGGGAAAAATAATGCGCCCCGGCCTCTTCTTGGGCTTTTCAGGCAATCACTAAAATGTTTTTCTCTTGATGTATTTAACCTTCTCAAATATTTACAACATTAAATCTTTGAATCGTAGCAGGAGTGAGTTAGCAGGTAAGTATGATGAGATGTTTGGTAGGTCGATGGGTTTAAATTGAATTGGTAAATCATTGGGTTCAAAAGCGATAGAGTGTTGCTCATTTTTCTAACCTTCTTGGTGGTTCGTATTTCCAGGTACAGTCATTCTTATGTTCTCACTTTTTTCGTTTTAGTTTCTTTGCGTAAATGGCAATATTCTTAATTATTAAATTTGGAAGTTTTCTTACGTCGGTCAATTATTGTGAAAATAGCACAATTCATCCAAAGTTTCCTAATTCTTCATTTTTGAGTACAATCTGTTATTTTCTGCTGAAATCTGAACAGCCTTGAGAAACAACTCTTTTACTACACTGTGGGAATGTTAGATCTTTTGTTTAGCTAGTTGCCATTAGAGATTGTCGCTGGGTGGATAGCTTTCAATTTGTAGGCTGACATCAAGATATGTCCAAATGAAATGATGGCCCTCGGTTAAGGACTCCCATCTTTGCAAAATGACACCACACTTACAAATATTGTTTCATCACATTTTTTATTTATTTTTTCACCCTGTGGCTTGGGATTCTGTTATCTGGCTGTACCCCATACTTTACGTTTACTATGGTTGTGTTATATTAGTACATCGCCTCTGTTTACAAAAATTATAACTTGAAATTTTGATGTTAATAATATTGTCCAAATATAGATGTTATATTATTATAATATAGCAAAATTATCAATATTAATAATCTTTAACCAGACAAATTAATAATTGATTGCCTGCAAATAACCAATGTGGGACAATCCGGCTTTTGTGAGAGTACGTCGTATGTTAACGTTGGTTTATGACAATAATCATAATGCTATAATTATATCTAAAAAGCGATATATCCTTATTAGAATTACAAAAATATCCGTGGTTTCAATCGTTGATAAAATTATAATGAAATAATACACAGTGGGCAAATACTAACTATGGTCAGGTATTTCTTTACAGCATAAAAACATTTGTTGTAATTTATTGATTAATTTTTGATAAAATTAGGTATTCATTATAGAAGTTCACTTAATTTTTAAATATAATTTGTTTCAGATTTATAATGTGAAAGATTATATTAAGGAGGGAGATCTGCAGTTTCTTGAACTATTTGTTAGATATGGAATTGCAATTAAAGACGATAAGAAGCCTTTCCAGGTTAGAAAAATATCCAATAAATTTTGATTGTACAGTTGTATATATATCTCTTATACACATCTAGATGTGTATAAGAGACAGGGCTACATAGAATGTGTCTAATCTAGTAGTACAATTTTACACTGCCTTGACTACCAAGGCTTATTTACGATGTGTGTGTGTGTGTGTGTGTGTGTGTGTGTGTGTGTGTGGGTGTGTGTATGTATATGTATATGTGTATATATGTATTGACCTATTCAAGAGAACATTTTTGAGTGTCGCCCTCAATTGTCGGCGCCATTACTGGGTGGCATTTTTGCGAAATTGGGTACCGCGAAGTTTAGAGATGCAATGCGGAGTTTAGTTTTCAATGCAGTAGTTGCTGAGAACACCAGGGTTTTTTTCGACAGTAGCAGCTGCGTCTTCAACCTATATCTTATCACAATCCAAGATAAGTATTTTTCGTGTATTTAAGACAGAAAATAACGATAGGAATTAGGGGCCTCGATAGATCGTATACTGTATATGTTACGTTAGGCCTAGCTAGCCTGTAGGGTACACCGGGTCCCAGACTACTACGAGGCCTAGGCCGTCTAAAGTAGCTAGGTGTCTAGCCTAGGGTAGGCTAGCTAATCGGATAACACTACTGTACCATTAACAAGAAAGAGGGCCAACAGCCTAGCAGATAACAAATTTACACGGGCCTAGAGTCAGTAGTATGCTACTGAATATCATGACGCCTAGAGAGGGCCTACACTATTACTACTAGCCCAAGGCACTCGATTGATTGAATTTTCACTGTACACCAGCCTAAAAAAAGTGGTGCAAGAGGCTGGTGTATACCAGTGGTGGCCCTCTATTATCCCCTTTTGTATTCTCAAACTGTAATTTAAATTTTTTTTAATATTTTTCTGAACAATCCCATTTGATGGAATAAATAGTTTTTGTATGAGGAAAAATGATGATTATAATTACTGTACTATTTTATTACGTAATATTTCTAAATGTTAAATCATGGTTTGTTTTACAGCTTTGTTCTACTTTATTTCATTGACAGAGCCCAGTCATCAATGGTGACATCATCAGCATGAGATATGATAATGTAAGTTAAATATCAAAAGCTTATTTTGCCTGTTTGACTATCTGCTGTGAATATGTTAATTCTAACAAAACATTTAAACTCAATCTCACAGATTTTAAAAAATATTTTTCTGTTTAAAAGTTGCTCTTTGTTTCCAAGTTACTGTAGATAGTTTTTTTAAAAAAATAATATATGTATCCAACTGTTGTACAGTATGCATGACCTACTGAAAGCAGACACAATACACTACCAGATTATTGTGGTTCAGTTACTCTAATAGGATCTTCTTCAAAAATTACTGTAGAGTGCTAATAATTTACAAGGACATTAGTACTGTATAATGTGGCTATCAAGAAATAATTGTCTATTTATTATTTACAGAAACCATTATACCCTGGCAGACCTGGTCCCTAAAAGGAGAGTTGTAAATGCAGTTGGTTAAATGAAAGAACACCCATAAACTTCTACTGATATCAACCATGTTTATATTTGGAACAGAATATTGAACTGTAAAATGAAAAAGATGCTTGTGTTAAGTGTTATGATCCTACTATCACTAATCATACTTAGGATTGTGTTTATAGGCTTTGCTGGAAATCTACACAGACTGATGCCAGTCCTGAAATTACAGCCCATGATATGAATGAAAATATTTAAACATTTAACATCAGCTAATGAAAAAGAATTACTGTACATTATTTAGGTAATTTAAACAAGTGTCTTGTCCAAGAACCCAGGCAATGTACACAGCATGTGTCCTTGTACAAAACACTAGATCTTGACTTGTATTTCTCTCTCTATCCAGGTGTATAAAGCAATATAAATGATGTTCCTATAGTAAAACAATGTTAATAAAGTGTCTTTTCATTGCTGTCGGTATGCAATTGGTTGACTGTAATTTGTAATAATTGTTGTACTGGTGATATTCTGTGAAACATCATTTACAGTAAATGGTAAATACTGATAGTAGCTTAATATTGGTTAAACCTTTGGACTCAAATGTTTTCCTGCTAAGTGATGTTACAGCAGATCACACTCAGCTACTAATTCACTTAATTTAGTACAGTATTAATTTTAAATGCATGTTACTATCATACAAAAATGATAACCAAATTGGAACACTGTCTAACATTACACAACAATGTCATCATTACTATTGATGAATAACATCATCTGACCTTATATAAATCAATGCAAACAATTAAAGGGGAACCAAGACTTGCAAATGGATCAGTTTGCCTTTTTATTCACGTGATATGCATCAATATTTTAACAATGCTGAAATAATAACTATAATGTTTATAATACATTTACACTAATTCTGTTAAAATATACATTGTAGGAAAGGCCTACTTAAACTTCATAAAAAACAATCAATTTGTCCACCTTTATTGAATACCGAAGAGCTGTGATGAGTATCAGTGTGCGTACTGATGTACACATGCAGTTCAATTTGTCCACCTTTATTGAATAGCGAAGAGCTGTGATGAGTATCAGTGTGCGTACTGATGTACACATGCAGTTCATATATTTAAGGATAGTCTTGCAAAATGGCTACAGCATTTACCTTAGGAGTAGATTTCAGAGGCAATACAATCAAATTTTATCCAGTAATTGTAGTGTGTTTAACAGTTATTTCAATATTGCGATAGTTGCTAATAGCGTGAGCAGTGTACACTGCCTTTTAGATTGTACTTCCATCAAACTTATACTCAATCACGCAAATACCTCCAGAACTCAGGTAATTTTGGCCTTCCACTGCATGGCCGGCGGAACGTTTTTCAAAGTGGGGGGGGGGCCTCACTTATAAGC